ATTACATTTTCGGAGAAAAAACTGAAAACAACTGAAAAAAATAAGGTTTTCCTTTTACCCATAAAAATTAAATCTACAATCTCAGGTAGAGGTCCAAAATATATGCCACACAATAATATAAACAAATATATTAAACTGGCAATAATAATTATGTAGAATATCCAGATAAAAGCAATCCATTGTCATAAGTAACAGTGATTGAAACGTAAATTCATCAAAGTCAGACATCTAATGTAAAGATTGACATAACTCGACATTGACAGAAATTTGCAAATCTTAAAAATCCTAGAAAATCCATACAATCGATTGGAAGATATAGTGATGTTTCACGAATACGTTTAGTTTTCTTCGATTTTTATTCAACAAAAACATTTTCATCTATAGTAAATGTGATTAAATCTTTACAATAATCTATAGTATACACCAGGGGTGGTCAATATGAATACGTCCACGATCCACATAGATAAAATACAATGATATCAATAGCCAAAATGTTTATAAATACATTTTATAATTTTCATAGTTCTATCTAAGTAATGAGGTAGCTAACAGCCGATAAAAATATCAAATTATGTATCAGAATTAGTTCAATATTATTTTGTTTCAATTAGTTTTCGAACTATCTAACAAATTCCAATACATTATGTGACTGTTAAAATAGATAGTCTATGTTGAAAGGTACTGTTGTTAACAACTTATGAAAATATTTGCAACATTTTACGATTGTACACTTACGATGTCAACACATAAAAGAGCAGTAAAACGTAAATACGAAGAAGAAAAAAGGCAATTCAAATTAGAATGGGAAGAGTTGTAGTTTTTTATACAAAAAAATGACAAACTATTTTGCCTTTTATGTCAATTGCCATTATCACAATTTAAAGTTAATAATTTAAAACAGCATTACGAAACCAATGACAGCACATTTAGTCAAAAATTTCCAATCGGTTTCGATTTAAATTTTAAGGAAAAATAAACTGTTCGATGAAATTAAAATTTTCCAAACAAACTAATGTCATGTCAGTGGTTACCAATGAGGCAGATGACAACGTAAAAGCAAGGTTAGTGACATCTGTGTATTTTTAATTTTCTCTTTAATAGTTAAACACATATCCCCATAAGTTAAATTTTTATTTTATATTCAAATAAACAATTTGTTAGTAATCTAGTAGAATGAAAATTATGTAGATAATATTTGATAATATATAAACTATTTTTATGTAGACAATATTAATAAATTTTATCAATTGGTATATTATATTTAGTGATGCACAAGTATAGTCGATGACCAATAAAAATAAACGTAGTTATGTAGTTATAAATTATAATATAGTTATTATTATAGTATAATAACAACACGATTGCGGACAATCACTACATGAATAAATATATTATTTATATTTTTTACCTAAAATATGATACGATTCTGGACGAAATTAGTGAAACGTTGCCAAGTTTTGGGACGCAATTTTTCAGAGCTCAGCGATTAAAAATTTGATAATAAGTTTATCATTCGGATGTCAGCTAGTACTCTAGTGAGCATCATTTATACATACTTAGCAGTGCCCGATTTTTAGTGCATACAGAGTTCTTAGCACATAATATATACTCATCGGAAAGTTCACAGATGAATTTTTTGTCTGATGTTATTTGTTAAATTAATACTTGCACTTTGCAATGCAATCATTATTTATACGTAACCATTTTATAATCCCATCTTTTCGATTTCGCCTAAATCGGTATTTATTTGTTTGTAGAATTAATTTTTACCTCATTTTGGTAGTAATATTTAACAGTTTTTCATAGTTTTTAAAAAAACACTATACTATAACAACGGTTAACACTATACGTACTGTAGTAATTTACAGAAATGACTTGTATCATACTACACTTGACACGCTCAGAATTTCTACATTATAAAAATATTATTTGATATAATTTGGCAACATACGTTTGCAGTCGTGTCATTTTTAGGGGTCCATTGATAAATTATAATCGTCCACAATCGTGTTATTAAAAAGGTCGCCCTGATAAGAACCGTCCGCAGTCGTGTTCGTATACCATTCCGTACCTTTAGATAAAATAGTGACTCAAAATAAATAAAAAACTAGAGTGAATATATTACATATTAATAGATTTAATAAAACTACACTGTGCTTAGGCCGTCGTGAATCGTCGCGAAAAGCAAGACAGCTGACGGGGTCCGACTAGTGAATAGACGGCAGTAAAATAAAATAATATAATAATATTAAAAATAAGGAAAAATAGCAGCCGACGACCGCACACAAAATAATTATAATAATAATATTGATTTAAATGTGGGATATGCCCGGTCGTCGGTGCGATAAGCACGCGACGACGACTAGACAACGTCCCACGTCCATTCATAGGAAAACCAGAATATAACAAGAATAAAATCATAGACATGTAACAAAATAATGTTATTAATGAGGTGTAACTCTCACTAACGTCCTAAAAATAAACTCCTGTCCCTAAGTGTCTCCAATGGGCAGCTTTTTATCTCCTGTTACTCAAGTCATGTCACTTCCATTACGTAAACTTATTGTAAAATACAATTACAGATTGTGTTTTTAATAATAAATGTTAAAAAAAAAAAAAAAAAATGAGGTGTAGATTTTTTGCAACCTTATACTTGTAATACTTCACACACGCTAAACATATTTTATTGACTTCTACTTCATGCGTGTCAGGCGGATGTGTATGTACTTTGTCAAGAATAAGCGTTTGAATAATAATTCTATTTTTCAAATTTTCTTAATTTACTTGAAGATTTAATTCTAGACGCTTTGGAACATCTCCAAACAATGAATTTCAGTATATTATAATTTTTTATATACGCGATAATAATTAATAATTTTATTATTATTGGCGTAACGAATCAGGCGTACATAATACAAATCCAACGCAAGTGTGCCATTTAAATAAGCTATTCGACCAACTTCTAAACATCATAGGTGATGACAGATGAGATCGTACAACAAACGATATAGTGCCTCGATATTGTCAAGTTAACATTTTTTAATTTAAATCGTTTAGTATAAGAAAAAAGTAAGTTAATACATTCAAAAGTTACCTACGTTTATTTTTTTTAACAACTTCTTTAAGTTTATAATGAATGGATAAAAAAATTAATTTTACTTAGTTGAAGATAAAATTTGACATTATCAAATTAATGATAAAAAATGGCAAATATTTTCTAAACTAATAATATTCTGAAATTCTTTCAATCTCGGAACCATATGCTTATATGGTGGCATTGGAGTATTATAGATTATAGTGAATATTCGGAAGACAGTTGACTTTCCAGTAAACTGTTCTCATCAGCCTTCAAAGAGAGAAATCTATTTAAAATTAAGAAAAACAAGTCATATTTTAACGATATAAAGCTGTATTGTTATTTAATATTTTTATATTAATATACTTAAAAATTTGATTAATTCATGCCTTTACATCCATGAAAAAATATTAAAAATGGTTTATTTATACCACTTATATTTAAAATATATTATTTATAATAAAATACACAAGAGATGATTTTATCATTAACATCTTATGTGTATTGATAGTGTAATTTTGAATTTCCTTCTAAAAAGTTTTGATATTTTTGTGATATATATTATTGTTCAACAAACAAATAAGTTATAAATAAATAGTTTTAATACTTTTATTTAAAATTAATTTAATAACACAATGTATATACATTAAAAAAGTTACATATTAAGTTAAGAATAAATTGAAATAACTAACATAATTTTAATTTTTAATTCGTTAATATCTAGCCAATATTTTAAAAACAAGAAACGATGATTTTAATAGGTTTTATATTTTTTCACGAACGTTATTTTATTTATATTGTAATGATATTTACATTATCAAGTCACATAGCTTTATAGTTAAATATCATCATAATATTACTTATTTTTTCATCTTAATATTTAAATAACTAACCATATCCATAAACAATATTATAATAATTAAAATTATATCATTAATATTAATATTTATAATTATACTATATATTACAATATCTAACAAATTATCAATACCTAACACCCAATAAACATGTATACTTATAAATTACAATAATATATTAAAATAATTACTAAACAATTAATAATAATATAATATTTATTTGTTAAGTAATTTATATCGTAAAAATACATGTTTTTATAATACAAATGTATTTATACAAAATAAACAATAACAAATTGAAACGGAACAACAAGTAAAAGATCAAGTCTATAAGTAGAACCACCATTCTGACATTATAGTCAGTCAAGTCTCTATCAAAGATTCTCTCTTAATCGAGTAGTCTACATCCAATCATCAGCCTTTCCTCACGAATGCTCACCACTGTTATTTTCAAAAACAAGAGAATATTAAATCAACAGTCTAAATTGATCTTTCACTCGTTGTAAAGTTTTAAATTAATGTCATAAACCTTATTCGAACTATTTTTTTTTAATTTTATTCATTTAATGTATATTAAATTCAAATCTTAATTCTATTAGCATCCGGTTATCAACGCCTATCAAGTAAGAAAATATATCTATATATTTTAGTACATTAAGGGCAGAAAGAATATTATTATTAGAAGTAAAAATAACACACGTAGACTCCGGTGTTGCAAGGAAGGTAAAAATAATCTATATTAATAAATCTATATCTGCGATTCCGAATAAATCGTAATTATATAAATGCTTTAATAAATAATAAACAAAAATGCAAAAGAACGTTAACACTCTTAGCTCCATCGTTTATGTTTAAAGAAACCTAACTATAACATCTAAATAGTTAATAAATTATTCTAAGGTAAAATTTCATCAATAACACTAGCCAAATTTATTTTTGATTCATTACAATATTTTACAACTTTGCATAAATAAAATTAGAATAGAAACTATAGAGTGATATAGGTATATTACTATTTACTATGTAATCTATATAATATACAGGGAAACCAAAAAAGTTAAGTCATTCTGTATACGTATATTATTATAAATTGTCGTATTTAGATAAAATGTGTTTCTTTGTATTTCAGATCACTGATTAACCATATAATATACAAAAATAATTACAATACTGAAATTTAGATTTTTAACATAATTTACACTGTATTATACACATAAGATTATTTATTAGTTATTATCCTGCCGTATTTAATCGAAACAAAGTTTCTTGAAGTTTCCTTCGACACCCATTATTGACGTATCAGCCGTCTTAGATTGACCGATTCGCTTACTAGAATCAGCTTTCAACCCTTCCATTGCAATACACCAACTTCTATGTTTTATTAGTTCTTCATGCATTCTTTCTGTAATAAATAAACGTTTCTATGAATGAAACATTTCTAAAAAATTGAATATTATAAAAATATTCTATGTAGATTGTATTATAAAAGTACAGACAGTACATATAGGGAAGGTACTAGATACACAAAGAAATTTAATTTAAACGTACAAATGTCAAAGAAAATATATATTGCTTATGATTTGAAAAGCACTTACGATTAAGTTCAGCCATACTTCCAGCTTTACCACCCCATTCGTTTGGAAGGATATCGATTGGGTAAAATTCTTGAAGACTTTCGATAGTTGCGTTAAATAAAATCTGAAGTAAATTTTAAATATTAGGTTTCCTATTTTCATAACATCGAATCACGGCTATAAAATATATTTAATAATATTGATTTATTAAATTTACTTACTCTATTCTTATATTTTTGTGGGAAAAAGTGTTTTATAAAATTAAGCGAGGTTTCGGCTATTGGTGCTATGTTTACAAAATGAACTCGCTTAATCCTCACTGGTTTTGCTTCCTGAAAATAAATCAAATAATAAACATATAAATAATATCATAATACAACTAATAATTATCTAGTAATAGTTTAAAAAATGAATCACATATCATAGAGACAAAATAATGTTTATTATTATGAGAATTCATATAAAGTATTTAATGAGTATTTTTTATTATACTTAATTTTACATTAAATACATTGTAAAAAAATATATATAATTGTAGAAGCAGCTTAATTATAATAATGTTTTTTAATTTTAGAAACTTGAAAACCTATGAAGTTGCTAAACTATCATTTAAATTTTTATTTTATTTATCAAACAAAATTTATCGTATGCGATTTATAAATTTTTTAATAATCAATAGACATAATTACCATATTTATTTTAAGAATTTTTTTCATAAAACTGAGATTGAAGTGAGCCCATTGAGCCATAGACACCATATTGGTCACATCGAATATCCAAATATCTCCTAATGTTAATTCGTCTTCGTTGAACAACCAATTCCACATCATTTCATTGCGTTTTAATTGACTATCGGGACAAATCGCTTTCGCATCTGTTGACACCATCCGGTAACAGAGCACTCTATGGAACTCCGGCGTGAGTTTAGGCAATGGAAACATGTGACTATAATTTATTTTAAATGACGAATTAAAACGTTAAATTTTCCATTCAAGAAGTTCCATCGCTGGATGGATTCTTCGCTCAAGTCATCAGTCCCTTTTATTTTATTTTATTGTTATTCTATTTCTATCTTATCAACACTTATGCTCATTGTAAAAATAATATATTTACAGATTGTATAATAAAACAAATTAAAAACAAACAAAATTTTCCATTAATAAAATTGATATAGCTTTTGCTTTTCAGCAAGTCATACATTTAATCTTAATAAGCTAATAAACTATACACTTATTAATTACTTGAAGTCAACTAATCTAAAAATAAAATATGTAGTAAATAAATTTTTATCCATGTTCTTTTGTAAAGCTACTTAATGTTTTTTTCTTTTCATTCATGTTATCTGTTAAACGAACGAATCAAGATATTTACCATGTAAAATACTTTAAGTTTGAAAATGTGTTTTATTTTGATATGATCTGTGAAGATAATGATGTCCATAGTTAAAACGTTTTTAATAACATATTAAATTTATAATTACGTAATAAAAAACTGTTATTGAAAAATTATTTAAAAAAAAAATTAACTATTGTATAACATAATAATATAGCTCATACAAATTAAGTGTCTATACTTTTTACAGATACATTCACGCTATTAATTATAATATTTTTTCATAAAAATAATTATCTCAATAACGGTGATTGATAATATAAAATATAAATAAATAAATATTTTGCTTAAAAACTAAATCAACTATCACAATATGTTTACAATATGTATACATTATGAAATAAGGTTAGTTTAAGAATTAGAATAATTACTTCCGTTGTTAAGTCTTATTTTTTTAACAATTTAACAAGCCAATAATTTAATTTTGTTGTCAGTTCTAAGCCTATACAATTAGAAAAGAAAATTGTTAAAAGGACAACACCTTTATTTGATGTAGCGCGATCGTGTTACAATCAGTTACTTCTAGTGATTTACAGAATTACAAAATATTATATAAGTAGTCATAATAATAATAACTTTATTTAAACAATATTTTAACAAATTAATTATAGTTATAAGTAATAACTAATAACATAATTTCGACCAAAAACAGCCATATCTAAGAAATAAGGTAGATAATATGAATGGGAATGATGTGTCGAATAGAAAAAGAATAGATCTTTGACCATAATCCTTAAAGTATTGAATATTTAAATTTTTGTATGAATAAAATAATCATATTTATTTATCATTAATTATTGCATACACAATGTCTATGCAAAATATGTAACATCTTTAAATTATTATAAAACTATCTTTTTAATATGTACATGTTATAATATTATAATTTATAACTGGTAAATCCAGTTTTATGAAATTTTAAGATTTGAATTAGTGCCATTATATTGTTTAAAAGCTTAAAACTCTAAATTATAAATATTCAATAATTATCGAAAATAAATATGGATTTTAATTTAGATCGATCGAATTTTTCTTAAGTGGGTTCTATTACTACATTTAGAAAAGTATCAATTTTTTATTGGTTTATAACGGTAAATTTTTTTTTATAGATTTGATACGTGTCATATTTTTAATATGGCATAAAAAATATATATTTTTTTAATTTATTAAGAAATACACAGTCAATTTACAATTATAAGCTAAGTAAACATATATGATAGATATATCGTATTTTAAATAATTAATGTATAATTTATAATAATTGATATTATATAGATCAGCGGCTCCCAAACTTTTTCAGCCTCGAAGCCTTTTTTAGGAGAAGTTTCTCGTGGAGCTCCAAGAAATATTTAACGTTCATTTGCATTTGCCTGTGTTCTATGAAGCATAATAATTAACACGAACTGATTTTACGTAGTACACGTCATATCTGTAAATTATGGCAACTTAAGTGTTGACGAGATTTTTATGAAATATATATTCGTTTTAAATAATTTAAAAAATTTCAAAATTATTAAATTGTTGAGTAATAATGAACGGAACCCTTGGGAAGCCATTGCGGAGCACAGTTTGGGAACCGCTGATATAGATGAACCAAATTGAGTCTATCATTGTTAATCAGTTTTTACTTTTACCTAAGATTACAATAACTTATTATTGATGTTTTTTCTTTGTTTGAAATAGACACGCATAAATCGTGACTAATGTAATCATATGTGTATAAAAAAAATTAAAACAAAAGATGTTCTGTGCGAGTTAATGTAACTGGAGTATGAGTTCGTTATTGCAAACTAAAATAATACATATCATAGAATAATAAAGTTCAAAAAATTCATAAGTAAGTATTATTTATATTTTATAACGCTTATTTACTACCTAAACCACAAAATACAAAGGTTATTAACTTTTTTATTTTCTATTATTCAATATATTAAAAAATCAAACTATAGTACACATTACCTATACCTATACCTATGGGACCTATTTAAATCAAAATGTACAAGAGTTATACTATATTTACTTAATTACTAATTAACAATTAATCATAAACAATAAATAAATAATATAATGTGTTAATTATTAAATACTATCAACTTACACAACTTCTACGTGTTTTTGAAAAGTTTCTGATGTTGGATCTAAGTCTCCATAAATTTGGGGAAATAATTCTTTTACAGTATAGTAATTATCAATCACAAGTTTAACTTTTTCTGTGCGGTATTTTAAGCTAAATAACACTTTTTTTATGAATTCATCGCCTGAAATTAAAAATAATGAATTAAATTTATTATTAATAATTTATAAATAATCTGTAATTCAAGATATTTAAATTTATGTTTTATTTCTTGTTTAAACATAATATAAGCTAATGAGCATGCTTTTGTGCTTTTGAAGACTTATCTGAAAAATGTTTTTCTAATTTGATACTTGATATTTACATAGATCTCAATAGAGAAAGATTGAAAACTATAAAATATGACACAAACAGTTAAAATTTAACTACCTATGGGATAACATAAATATAAATAATTAAAATTAAATTCAAAATTATGAGAGTAATTCCATTAATTCTATAATTGTCTTGCATTAACCATTTATTTAGGCATATCTTAAAGTTTAATTATTTTTGATTTTGAATTTCTATGGGAAAATTATTGATTATATAATAATATGACCTTACGTATGACAACGAGTATGACGATTGAATGGTAATTTCCTACTGACTTTGTATATGTCTTATAACACTCGATATCAAATTATATAATATATATTCATCTATGATGGATTAATGTTGCAATAATCTACACACTAAATGGAACATAATATTATGATCTGATCATCCCTCAAAAAATAGCAACAATAATTATTATTTTGTTTTCATATCCAATTGATTTTGTAAAGCCATAAAAACACTCAAATTTTAACAATTTTTAATTGTATCATGTATAAATAAATGTAGAGAACCGATAAAAAGTTAGTACACATAATATAATTCATGTTTGTCATTTACAAACTATACTTTTTATCAAACGAATACACGAATTCACGAATAATCGTTTGTTTTGTTTATATTTATTATTTTATATATGATACGAGTATATATCTATATGTAAACTCGAATGTTGATCATATAATTAATATGAATTTGTGCTTTTTAGAATTATGTAATATAGATCTATATCATGAATCATAATTTATATTACGACCACCAATCGGTTAATTCTTGCAAAATTTTAATTTTAATTACGTCTTATCTAGCAATATAATTATGAAAATAATATCATTATGTTACAGTTATAGATATAATCCGTATTTTTAAAATATACTATTATTACGTAATAATACTACCAAATAAAATTAGTTTAATATAAATTGTCAAAATGAATACTTAAAAAATTATCTCAAAACTTAAGATATAATAAAACCTTTATTTTTTGGTAATCAACCCTAAGGTTAGTTTTTTTTTTAGTTTCTCATAATCTCTTCACTCGTCTTTATTATCAGCTAGCTTCTTTGGTTTAATATGGTTTATTTGCCGTTTACTCCATGTTAATAAGGCGTTAATATATCGAATAAGTTAAAATCAATATTACTGTAAATTTGGTACTTACTTGTTTTGGGTAGATGTGGTTGTTTATTCAACCAGTGTCTTATGATATCAACATTTTGATCAATCTCTGCCTTTGATCTTGGACAACAATTTTGAATCTCTTTCAGCTGAATTTCGGTAAGTGGTTCAATCATTTTGTTTATAAGTGCTTTTAAGTTTGCTAAAGAATTAGTAGGTAATTTTTCCTGCGAATACCATTAAATAAACGATAGTTTTATACTTTTATCATATATTATACATTTATATTCGTATTATGATTCAATAGTAACTTTGCTAGCGTTGTAACCTAAAATATTATCATACGAAATGTTTAATGACTACGCGCGAAGAAATCGTGTAATATTACATTATTACGCAATACTACTACAAAACATTAATTTGGTACAGTTTGTATTCAATAATAATATATATTGTTGATTTTGGTATCAAAGAAAACTTGGTTAATCGTCGTATCTGTCCTTGATGGATAGCATATTTGTTTAATATTTTTGTTTTTACTAGTATAGCCTATGGCACAATAATGAATGTAAAAAATGATGTTTCTAATTAAATGCTTCTTCGTATTTTATGTAAACTTTAATGTATACCTATGTATAGTAAAATACTAATAGATAAATATCCACCATCGAAAAAAATTGAAAATAGTTATCCAAATGTATGTAGCATTGTTGCATGTATATATTATAATGTATTATAAACACATAAGGTCTATAGAAATTATTTCGCAATTATATTAGGTGCGATCGATTATTTCTCAAACAATTAACACTAGAACTTAATATGATAGTTATTTAGACACTGGTAAAAAAAATATAAAAATTATAACAATTGAAAAAATTATAATTAAAATATCATGATATACCTACGACAGTACTATTTAAAAAAAGAATTTTATTTTATGTCAGTAGGTACCAATTATTATATTAAGTTATATATGATGTCTTTAATACTTAGAAAACAATTTGAAAATCATAAAAATACAATAGAAACTTCGTCAATTTAAATTTAAATCTCGATATGAACATGTTTATACAACCGTAATTATTTGATTAAGCAATGAGTATAAGCCAATAAATTATGCAGTTATCTGTACAGTAAAATAGTTGTTTTTAAATTTTTTTTTCTCTTGAAAAAAAAAAACTATTATGAAAAAAAGACACTCTACTTAAATTATCCACGATCGATGTGAAATCAATTTCACTAAATAGAAAATATTGCGAACAGTTTATAGACATATCGATAAATATTTACGCATTTCATAAAATTTGTATACTGCAATCATCGGTTTTAATTGACTGGGAACCAAATAGAGACAATCTTTAAGTCTGTGAGAAGTGTCTGCGACATAATATTGCATAGACATTGTCTGATATAAGCAATATTATTCAGACTTCAGATTAATGACGACGGCACTTCTCCAAACTACACGGAAGTAAAGGTTGTAGTTACATCATGATGGATGTGAGCGACGTCGAAGGTAGTAGTGAGGGGGCAGAATATCTGTGACTAGCACGCCGACGGTCACTACTTTTGGCATAAGGGAAACGCGTTCAATGTGCTCTGATGGTGACGCACCCAATATTATATTCATCCCAACACTGACCCTGAATTACGAGGAAAAATTGAAAATGACCTTAAAATATAATATTTAAATCATGTTACTTCCCCGCCCAATTATGTTTCACGAAATATTTTTTCTCGTAGAAATTATATTTTATATGTGTATAATAATATATTATTTATTCAAACACACAGTTAGTATGTTTTGATCAAAGTTAAATAAACATCTTGAGTATGATAATAAATTTATGGTTAGGATTTGATAGCAAATGTTATTGTTTTATTGATAAAACATCATTTTTGTAAAAATTTATTTTGTTTTATTTCAATGTAAAAAAATTAGACTTAATTTGGCATTTTTAAAATATTAATTTATTAAAATAACTCGTATAAACCACAACAGAAGTCTAGTGTAAGACGGTGCCAATACATTATAAATAATTATTATATTTGCTTTATTTCTGCTAATAGACGTACTAGACGTACTCGTATAATTTTATTATATAAATAAAGGTGTACTAATTATTTAGTAATAGGTAAAAAAAGCTAATCAATTATCATAATTCCTATTATTACAATTTTTTGAGACAAAAAAATTGATATTTTCTCCTCTGCACGGAAAAATAATATAATATATCTATATAATACACCTGAAATAAAATATCCCTATAATACTTATCATTATATTATTTTATATTATATAAGTTATGAAAATATATATTAAAATATAATTATTTTTCGATATTGATCGCCGCCTTTAACATGATAACACAAATAACGAAATCGACGGAGTAATCGACAACGATCAACGATAAACCATTTATTTTATTTTAAAGTTTTATTTTTTACTTTTATTAGGAAATACTATTGATAAATAAATAATATTTTCAAAACATCAGTTAACTTTGCGGGCCGGTTTGAAAAGCTTAACGGGCCGTAGGTTGGAGACCCCTGGTCTAAATGTATAATTTTAAATACAAATGTATTTGTATTATTTATTTAATAAGACATATCATATCATAATAATCAATCGTAATTTTGAATTTTCAATCACCACGATTGATATAAGTTGTAAATTAAACAACTCATCTATAAAATACTATATATATATCATCACTTGACAAAATTGATGTTTATTAGAATTTTGTTTTTATTTGGCTTATAGATAAAAATATAGTACATATAGCTAATAAAAATAATATATAAAATAATAAATAATAAAAAATAATAAAAAATGCTTAAGAAATGCTTAAAAAATAATAAAACTTATAAAAAAAAATTCCGAATAGAAGATTTATTTTTTGGTTATTTAATGTATGAAGCGAATTTTGTCTTTGGAAAATAATGTTTTAGGGCATTTTGAATTTAAATTCCTTGCTTAAGTTTGATAATTACTAATTACCTATTTCACTAAAAATAGAAATTGTAACTACCTAACACCTACCACTATTTAAATTATGTGTTGCTAATATGTCACTATGAAAACATGATAGTTGATATTAATAAGCAAGTTTAAACTAAAATATTAAATATATATTCATTAAAATTAAACGTTAAATCTATAGATATAAAATGTTGGTACCTAAAATGTAATATTGACATTGTAAATATTTCATACATACATCTTATACAAGTATATAAATATTTTGTTTATTATTATAGCTATAGCTTACCTATGTAAAAAAAAACCAATGTATATATAATAAAATATAATTAAGCATTTTTCTTATTGTCCACTCAGTTGCATATGCTTACATCAGAAAAACAAAAGAATAAGTGAATGTACTACTTAGAATAAAGACACTAAAAACATTTTTAATGAAATCAAGAGCTCGTCTGCTAAAAGAATTTAGAGAAGATGATGACCAAATATATAAAATAAACTTTTAATATGTAATCTAATTATAGATATTAGTTTATTAATACTAATTTTTAAGATTGGCATAGAAATTTAAAAAAAAATGACATTCATTACTTGTAAGGAATTTAAATAAATGTGTTGTATCATTATAATAATTCATATTAAGTTTTTAAACAATAAAATATTAAAATTATTAAAAATATAAAATTGTTTAAAATTAGTTAATTTTTCAAAAGCCTGATCTTTTGAAAAAAAATTATGATTAAGCTAATTTATACGTATCTAAAACGTGTATTTATTATTTTATTTTATTTTTTTTGTTTTTGCAATAATTTCATTAAAATGTTCAAGAAAACTTCGTTTTTAAACACAATTAATAAAATTTTAAATTTTAAGTTTAATCTTCAATATATTATCATACAATGACATATTTAAGTATTACATACCTATTGAGTTTATGAAACTTATGAAGCATTCAAACGATCTAAGAAATGTGTGCCATAAAATAAAGCAATGTATAACGACTAAATGTATTATTCTTAAACAACAATAACATTTGAATAATTAATCACAATGTCTATACTATTTCAATTATACACTCTTCCAGCATATTATAATAGTGTAAAAACGTAATATTGTTATATGTTTGATTGTTCAAAACAAATAAATTTTTTAATCTATTATGAGCTCAATGAAAGTGAAAAACATTAGGTATGTTAACTTATTTAATTGTTTATTTATTGTACTAAGCAGTTAAGTTATTTTTTTAAACAACTTGTTAGTTTTTATGCTATATTAATTACTGTGCTATGGATGATGATAGTTTACGTAATTACATATTAAATTTTATAATCTAAATCAAGAATAAACTTAAAATTGTCTAGAACAAAAATGTAAAAATATTCATATTATATAATAAACTACATAGGTATGCTACAGTTCTTAGGCCGATCGTAACTAACGTTATATTGAAACAATCAAAATGTTTATGTTCAAAGCATCCAATGAAAAAACTTAAAAAACTTAATATCATGATATACTATTTTGTGGGAAATTCGCAGGACGATGTAACAATGTCATTCTCCTTAACCCCATAAAGAACTAACGCATTATAAATGCTGACTGGATACTTTACTAAGTATACATAATATTACATATGTTATGACCAACAACGATATTTGAATATATTGGTACCAAAAAATAAAATAACATGAACATCTACGATATTTATTTTATACTATTGTTGACTATAGCAATTATTAATTTTATTTTCTATGACTTGATAGTATCATCAAGAGTGCAAACACAGACGATTCTTTTTTTTCGTGATAGATTTTTTTCCTTGATGAAAAAATGCATAAAATTCACACCGCGACATCGTGTCTAAGTACAAACGGTTCACCGTAATTTGAACATGACGTAAGTACTGAGTGACGAACAAATGTGACACAACTACACAAGCATAATATAACACATCCATTATACGTAAATTACATATTATTATTGTAGTACATAATCGACGACACTATATTATAAATGGACGGTTGCAAATATTTTAATACATTAATCTATTATTTTTATACTATCCTGTACTAACCTGCACGGTGTTGCCCGGAAAAAATCGGTCTGTTGACTGTTTGTACGGCTGATTGCACTGGACTACTACTAGAATCACCTCGCGTCTTCTGTTTCTGCTAATTATTATGCTTGTACTGCCCCCCTCCCCCAATTGAAAAAACAATAATTAGCCGATTCTTATGTTGG